GCGGGGGGGGGCGGGGGGGGGGGGGGGGGGGGGGGGGGGGTTGTGGGGGGTGTTTTTTTTTTTTTTTTTTTTTTTTTTGAGTAGGAATTGACCTCATCGGAGCAGACTTGCGATTTGAACGTCCCGAGCGCAGGAGGACCGAGAGCAGCGAGCGAGGGCCGCGCCGTGTGGGCTGCCAGAGGCTTGCGCTGAACGTCCGGACCGAGGCCCTGGGTGCCGCTGACCGGCCTGCCCACTTAGGGTCCGTTTTTTGTGAACATTCATGGTCGTAAGAATTTACCAAACTGTGTGAATTTGGTAAATTCATATCCAACATGGGGAGCCCTCAAGACTGGAGAACCGCGCATGCAGAGAGGCCGGCGTTTCTTGTTGCCCACCCGACGGAGGCGACCCGCCCCCCGGCCCGCGGTGCTGGGACTCTCCTGCCGCCCCACAAGGGCTTGGGGAAGCCTTGAGGTGCACGTCCATAAGCAGAGCCCCACGGCGGTACCGCCCGCCCGGGACCACCCCATTCACCCCGGCACCTTCCCACCCGCATTCCCCAGCAAGCGGGGGGCACCGTCAGGCTGCCCCTGATGCTGGGGAAGGCACAGGACCACCTGGGCCGGGGTCTGTGGCGAGCCCCTGCCCCCATGGCCCGTCCCCTTTCGAAACGGGCGGCCCTCGCCACTCCTTCCGCGGCGGTTGCAGGCGCGGACGCGCAGTGCAGGGCCGCATTCTGCACGCGCACTGGCCCGGTGCCTGCCGTGCAGGCCGCCAGGTGGGCAGAGCAGACGCCCGGAGTGCTGTCGTGGTTTGTTTCCGTGGCACAGTGGTGTGTGTGGGCAGCGCAACGAGGAGAAACAGCGTCTGGGCCACCACATGCGCTCACAACACCGGCAGTTGGGCCCAGAAACAGGCCGGAGCCGCCCGGGCCGCAGCGATGCATCACGCCACAGGCGAGGGGCTCTCCTTGCGCCGCTCCCTGGCTGCCGGGGCGCCCGTGCCCCCCACACACAGGGCAGCACACGCACGTCGCATTTCGCGTTCCCCGGCAACAGGCAGCCTCTCGGCTCCTTTCCATGAGGCGGCCGCTTCTCCTTCGGGATACGCAGGTGAGCATCTCAACGCTGCTGGTGTGTTCCTCCGAGTCCTGTCGCTACCGCAACTGTCAGGCTCCTAGCCCAGCCTTTTTCCTCTTGCGAGGGACACGAGGCGCCCTCCTCGCCACTCTATCTTATTTATTATTTCTTTAAAACGTTTTTATGCTGCCCCCATCGCCACAAAGCCTCGGGGCGGCTCACAAGCACAAATATAACAAATTGTACAATAAAAATATTAAAACCCGGTGCATCTCGGCTTAAAAGATTTAAAATCCTATAAATAACCAATAAATTAACACTTAAAATAAGTTTTAAATAAAAAGGTCTTCGCCTGGCGCCAAAAAGCAAATAACGACGGCGCCAGGCGGACCTCTCTGGGGAGCGCATTCCATAAATGGGGCGCCACCGCAGAGAAGGCCCTCCTCCAGGTACTCACCCTCCTAATGTCCTTCACAGAGGGCTCCCGGAGAAGGGCATCCGTTGCTGATCTCAAGGGGCGGGCGGGCATGTATGGGCGCAAGCATTCCTTTAGATACCCAGGACCCAAGCCGTTGAGGGCTTTATAGGTCATAACCAACACCTTGAATTGGGCCCGGACTTCAATCAGGAGCCAGTGGAGTTGACGGAGAACAACAGTCCTGTGAGGTAGGCTGGCCCAGAGTTGGTGAGCGAGCTTTGCGGCCCAAGTGAGAACTAGATCCTGGGTCGGCCAGTGCTCTAACCACTGGGTCACCTGCTAAATTGAAAGGGTGGGACCTACGGACAAAAAGGAGGCTGCGTGGAGGTGCTCCCACGGAGCAAGAGGCCCGCCTGTCTGAAGCACGTCAGGCCACGAGAGGCAAAGCGCCTGTCAGGACACCCATCCGAGGCCCGCAGTGGAGACGGACCCGACCCACGGCACACCCGGAAGCTTTCTTGCAGCGGCCCACAAATGAATGGGGAAGCTGGGGTCTTGTGGCCCTGACCAGGCCACGCACCCACGTCTCGAGGCCCACTCTGCCAAAGGGTGGGCATTTCTCAGCATGGCCGGGGCTAGCGGGGACCCTGGCCTGGGTGCCGCCAAGTACATTCTTCCTTTCACTCACGGGGCCATGGTGCAATCCACGCACGGGCAGGAAGACGGAAGCCCCATTGAGTTGAATGGGATTTACAAGCATGCGATCGCACCCTCAGTTAATCTGCAGCAAGTGGTTATTTTGAATAATTAGCAACAAAGAGAAGCAAAGTGCCTGGCCTCTCCTCCGCATTCCTCCTCCACCTCCCCTCTAATCTCCAGGGAGCCGGCTGGACCTGGGGGTCAGACTAAATGGCCCAGGAGACCCCTTCTGACTCACTCTTTCTGTGTTCATATGTTCTTTCCAGAGATGGCTCAGCCCTGCAGAGAGGGTTCCCCTGAACCGTTAAGCAGCGGGCAGCTATCCCAGGAATGCCTCATCCAATGCAGTGCCGCCCCCCCCCCAAAAGCTGGGCCTGCTCCTCAGAGGCAGAGGAGGCTTATACACTCCTGTGGCTCCCCAGTTTTCTGTCCCCATCAGCAGCAGCAGCACCAGCAGCAGCAGCCCGCTGATGATTTGACATAGTGCCCCATGACATTCTGATAAGCAAATGAGCAAAAAGTAGACTAGGTTGAAAAACAATTAGGTGGGTCCAAAATTGGCCGCTGAATCAGACACAAGGAGCTCATCGATGGCACCTCCTCAGACTGGATGGAGGCAGCCAGTGGGGGCGCCGCAGGGTTCAGTCCTGGGCCCAGCGCTCCCCAACATCTTTATTCATGATTTCGATGAGGAACTGCAAGGAAAGATAATCAGATTTGCAGATGATACAAAACAGGGTGGAATAGCAAACACCCTGGAAGACACAAAGAAAATCCAGGGCGATCTTGATACACTTGAACACTGGGCTGAAAGCAACAGAATGAGAGTCAAGAGGGACAAGGGACAAGTCCGCCACCCAGGAAAGAGAAACCAAAGGCATCGAAACAGGATGGGGAACACGTGGCTCCACAGAACTGAACAAGAAAAGGATCTCGGAGTAACTGTGGACAACAGGCTAAACATGAGCCAACAATGCGATGCAGCCGCCAAAAGGGCAAATGCTATTTTGGGATGCATTAACAGAAGCACTACTTCCAAATCACGAGAAGTAGTTCTCCTATACTCCTCACTAGTCAGACCTCATCTGGAAAACTGTGTCCAGTTCTAGGCACCAAGATTTAAGAAAGATGGAAGAAAAATTAGAAAAGGTCCAGAGGGGAGTGACAGAAATGATCCAGGGTTTGGAAACACTGCCCAAGAGACTGAGAGAACTGGGCATGTTCAGCCTTGAGAAGTCTGAGGGGGGACATGAGATCCCTCTAGAAGGACCTCCAAGGCTGCCACAGGGAAGAAAATCAAGATCTCTTCCTGATGATACCAGAGTGTAGGACATGGAATAATCAACTCCAGTTGCAACAACCCAGGTTCAGGCTGGGCATCAGGAGACGCTTCCTCACTGTCCGAGCAATGCGACAGTGGGACCAGCTGCCTGGGGAGGAGGGGGGCTCTCCCACACGGGAGACATTCAAGGGGAAACTGGGCAGCCACCCGAGTGGGATGGTGTGAACTGGTGTCCTACAACAGCAGGGGGTTGGACTCGAGGGCCTTCTTGGCCCCTTCCAACTCTGCTATTCTATGCTTCAATTACTCCCTTCTTCAATTTGCACCCATGGGGATGTCTGGAGAGCTGCTCAGGTGGCCCTTGGTAAACCGCTCTCTTCCTCTGCCTCAGCCTCTCCCTTCTGCTCTGTAGAGGGTAACTGGCCTTCCTTGCAGGGTTACCACGTTCTTCAGATAACATGCCAGAAATGGAGAGAGACTTGCAGCTGCCTGTCAGCTGTTAAAAGCTTATAGAAACATAGAAAGAGAGCGAGTCAGAAGGGGCCTCCCGGGCCATCTAGTCTGACCCCCGGCTCCAGCCGGCTCCGCTCACGACATGCCCACCATGTGCACGTCCAGCCTGTCCTTGAACACCCGCACCGATGGGGCCTCGACCACCTCCCGTGAAAGCCCATTCCATACCCTAGAGGTCGTAACCGTCAGGAAGTGCTTCCTGGCATCCACCTTGAACCTTGGCTCCTGAGCTTGGCTCCCTTGGAACTGTCCTGCCCTCCCCGCAGGGGAGCACAGGTCTCTGCCCACCTCCGTGTGACTCCCCCTCACGTACCTACATGCGACTCCCAGCAGCCCCAGCAGGCAGGGGGATTGTTGCAATCCGAGCCCAATACGCTCGGTGGGCGCCAGGTTGGGAAAGGCTGGATTCGCAAGATCCATGGTAGTAGTGGAGAGGCAGCCGCCCTCCGCCCATGCGACGCCTGGGTGGGGGCACTCCTGTAGGTGGACCCCCCCAGCTGGGCTCCTCTTGCCTCGCAGCCCCGGCCCTCGACCAGCTCCAGCGGAAGACAAGCCCATGAAGGAGCAGGCGGCGGCCTTGGGCTGGAGGCGCTGTGCAGGCGTTCCCGGCACCCGCTCCGGGGTGGCAGAGAACCCCTATTATTCTTACCCCCCAGACAAGAGAGATCGAGGAAAAGAACTCAAGCACACGCTGAATGCAAGCGAACCCCGATTTAAAAGCTATTCTTTCCCCGCTGTCGGCGGCCACGCGGTTTTCCCCTCCGGCGGGTCTCGAACTCGCGGCAGTTGCTCACCGCAGCCGTGCTCACCATTCCCGCCCCCGCCCCCTTGCACACATTTCTCACTACGCGCCTGCGCCTACTGAGAAGCTCTTTGTTGACGTATATGTCCCACGTATCCATGGGAGTTGTAGTCTCTCCTCACCGGACTGCGCATAGGAGAGCAGGCTCTGGAGGGCCAAAGACTACAACTCCCGTGAGACCCTTCCCCAAGCCGCCTGCGCGGCGTGCGTCCTCCTCATAGCGGCGCCCTGGGTCCCGCCATCTTGGTTTCCCGGGTGACTGGACGGGCGGGCTGGCAGTGGCCGGGCCGGGCGGGTGGGGGGCAGCGCAATGCTGGCCTGTCTGATGACCAGGCCTCTGCTGCCGGGGCTCGCGCGCCTGCTCGTTGCCCGCACGAAGCCGCCGCTGGCGACGCGCGGGGCCTCGGCGCGGGAACTGGGCCGGAGGGAGGCCGCCGCGGCCTGCGTGGCCGGGCGCCAGGAGCTGCACTACCCCGAGGAGGCCGCCTGGGGTCGCCGCGAGCCAGGCCCGCTGCTGCCGCCGCCGCCGCCGCCAGCGCGGGCCGTGGAGGAGACGGCCGTGGCGCTGCAGCGCCGGCACGCGGCCTGCAGGGGACGCTGCGCGCCCGGGATACGGTCGCCGTGCCCGGCCGGGGCCGACGGGGAGCCGGGCCTGCAGGAACGGGGCGCGGCCAGCAGGGGGCTCCCGTTGGCCGGGGCGGGCTGGCTGCCCCGGCTGCCCTGCCCCGACGAGGAGCACCCCCGGGCGAGCGCCCGCGCCCTGCCGACGGCGCCTAGCCGCCTGCGCCTGTGGCCCAACCCAGAGCACACGGGCCGCCACCGGAGCCGGGAGAGCCGCAGCCGCCGCAGCCGGATCCCCACCTTCCCCGCCGCGGCCGTCGCGGCGGCTGGGCTGGCGCTGTGCTACAGCAAGGGCCACGGTTCCAAAGGTGACCGCCGGTTTCCAGTTGCTGCTCTTGCGTCAGGGCCAAGGGACCGGCCAGCAGTTTTGGCCGGGGGCGTCCCCATGGCTTGCGCCGCGGGCCAAAGAGAGTTTCTGCAGGTGACCTGGTGGGAGAAGTGCCGAAGCTGAGCCAGGTGGTTTATTGCGAGGGGGCCTTCCAAGAGCTGAGCGTGCAGTGCAAGGGTGCCGTGAGCGCTTTGCCCCCATACGGGGCTGGATTGGCAGGACCTTCGGTCAGATCCAGCTGGACTGATCTTATTGAAAATCCCTGGAGTTCCTGGGTTGCCGGTGCCTTCTGTCGGCCCTGGCAAGTGCCTGATCAGGCCAGAACCAGTGCCCATGCTGCCCAAGGCTGGCAGGAACTGCAGTCCAGTGCATCTGGAGGGCTCTGGGTTGAGGAAGGCTATTCTGGCTCTTGGTGGACAGCCGGATGCCCTTGGGCACGAAGGAGTTGGCTGGGCCTTGGTGTACGTTGCAGGATGCTGCCTCGGTGTGGTGGTTCCTGCTTAAGCTTTCAGGTGCAATTGCCATTGATGGGTCTCCTCTGTGGGGTGGGCCAGCCCAGCCCCCTTTGTAGAAGCCATCTCAGCAGGCTTCTCTCAGGCTTGTGGGCTTCCCGGCCAGTGGCGTGTTGTGCATCTCACTTCCGACCCTTCCCTGCAGTAGCGTGCATCCCAGAAGGGCTCCGGATTCTTGAACAGCGCTTGTCTGTGCTTGTAGTTACATGGGCTGGCCATTTTCGTTTTCCCAAGAGGGATGGGAACTTCTGCCCATTGAGAGCTCCTTGGCTTACTAGAAGGTGGGCTAGTGAGGGACCCACCTTGCCCTAAAGGCTCTGCCACAGACACGGCATCTCTGCCGCCAGTGCCTGTCCAGCTCCTTTTCCTCCTCTGCACCATGGCGAAGGTGACTTTAGGCTTGCTGGAAAGCGCTCCTTGGAGAACTGTGCCGGGTTGGCCTAGACACTCCGGAGTAAATGAAGGGGTGGCCTGGCTCAGCAGAAAAGGGTGCAGTGCCTCGGGGTTCCTCAGGTGGTCACCTGCCTCCCCCCTTCCTAGACCACTGCCGGTGGGGTGTGGGGGGGGAGGCTGCAGCTTTTATGCTGTTTACATCTTGAAATGCGCCCAAAAGGTGTTGTTTTCCGTGAACGAGGTAGGAGAGAGGGACAGGTGCTCCGACAGGCATATGGTGCCAGTTGAAGAATCCAGCAGCACAGATGCGCCTCCCCTTCGTGGCACACGTGTTGCGGATCTCAAGCCAGGTTGTTACGAGAAGCAGAGGCATTGTTAGGTTCACGCCCTGCTCTTTTCCCAGTGTAGCTACGTGACTCCCAAGGCGGTCCAGCTTCCCCCAGGCTGTGTTCACGATGCCATGTGCCCTTTGCTGGCAAGGTCTTTTGACGGCTATCGCCTGATGACAACCTTTCTTAATCAACTAGTCTGGCATTTAACCAGCAAACAGATGGAAGTGACTCCTTGTGGATCCCAAAGATAGGAAGCAAATGAAGTATCTCTGGCTAAGCCCATGCCAGTTTGCTGCCTGATCTATATCAAATTTGCCATCTTTCATATTTTGTTTTTCTCTAGATGATGGAGCATTCACTGTTACAGTATAGCTACAGAGCCAAAGGGATCACAAAAATGTGTGCATTCAAGGCCCATGAGGCTTGTGACAAATGTGAAAGATACATGGGCACTGGTTTTTCTGGTGCCCTGTTCCCTGGCTCTTCTCGCAGTTGGCAGAAAAGGCAATGAGCCAGTGTTCATTTTTCTTTGAAGGGCAACTGATGGGCTGGCTTTGGATATGAGCTGGCAGAGTGCCTTGGTCGAAGCCTTGGACTGGGGCTCGGGAGACCCAGGTACTGGTGTCTGCCTGGGGGTGAGGTTCAGCCAGGTGACTTTAAGCTGGCCAGTGACTCTCAGCAGGGAGGCAGTTGTGAGCCTAAAATGGAACGGAGAAACCCTGGGTTCCCCACATGGCTCAGAGAGAGAACGAGAGAGAGAAATGTAATGGAGTAGTAGCAGCAGTAAAGTGGAAAGGAAGAGACTGGCTTGGCTGAACGGTAGAAATGTGACTGGAATGTCCTCTTGCAGGGCCCTGCTTGTTCCTCCGTTTATTAAAGAGCCGCATTTCGGCACAAAACCCCCTATGCATTCATCAGGTTGATGGAGAAATGAGTTTTGCTGTTTGTGCCAATTAACCCACGGGCATTTGCAGCCCTGCCCTTCATGGCAGGCCCAACATGGCGGACCTTATCCGGTTGGGGAGGAGGCCGTTGGCCCTGTGCCAGCGTCAGGTGTGCTGGTCAGCTCGGGGGGGGGGGCAGTGCAGGGACTCTGAGTCATGCCATGTATGTCTGGGTCAGTTTCCCATGGCCAGGCAGGGAAGCCAGTCCCACGCATGCCGCTGCTGTGGGTGGAACGCCCCAGAGAGGAGCTGGGACCTGGGAGCTGGACGGGGTTCCTGGGATGCCTGCAGGATCAGCTTCTTTCTGTCTGGAGGCGAATGTGTTCCCCTTGATGGATACTTCTAGAGCTAGTCTTGGCAGAGCATAGATGCCCTCTTTTCAGTTAGCAAACCGGACAGGGAGAGCGGGTGCCACAGGGTCTGCCTCCTGCTCACGACACCTCTACTCTTTGTCTTTTCCAGAAGACACTCTGCTAGAAGCTGCCCGGATCAACAGTGTTTCCGAAGTGGACCGGTGAGTCACCCACAGGATTGGGGTGCAGACCCTTGTGCAGTTCAAGGGCCAGATTTCATTTCAGGGAAGTTCTTGGGGGCTGCGTTCCAGTGGGGGGCTGAAGCAAGGGGCTGTTTTCGTTAGGGCAGGGGCTGGATCTGAGGTTGGGCATGTAGATGGGGGAGTGCACAAAAGACAGAATCCTCTCAACTGGTGGGAAGGGGTGAGGCAGCACGGAAAATGCCAAGGGCTGCGTTTGGCTTCCAGACCAGAGGTTGTTGCTGTTTATTAATTAGCAGCATGCTCTCTGGGCAGCCATTGCATTATAAAATCAGCAAGTAACATTAGTAAAACAATACAATTAAAATTGCATAATAAATATACACAATACAATAAATAAATGATTTAAACCATTATATATAATTAAATGCATTAATATAATTTAAAAACCTTGCTCAGATATAAATAGTCTAGATCAGTGGTGGCGAACCTATGGCACGCGTGGGCACGCAGAGCCCTCTCTGCTGACACATGAGCCAAGTCACCCCAGCATCGCCCCAGCAGCTGAGCATCGGATAGCAGCGCACACAGGGGCCATGCGCATGGTCGGAAAGGCGATGACCTCACAAGCCGTGACTCATTAGCTATGACTCGTCCAAACTTTCGCATGACCAGTCATTGCACTGCCGTGTGTGTGTGTGTGTGTGTGTGTGTGTGTGTGCGCGCGCGCGTGTATTTCCTTGCACTGCCTGTGAGGTGTTTTTTCTAAACTACAATCTCAGTATTTTTATTGCAGTGTTCTCACTTTGAGATAAATAAGTGGGTTTTGGGTTGAAGTTTGGGCACTCAGTCTCTAAAAGGTCCACCATCACTGTGTTAGGGTTAGAAAAATCAAGGTGTCCTGGCAAGATTTTGATGGTTGGAATTCGTTTAGAATGGGCAGAAATGAGAAGCTGTGCAGGAAAAGCTACTCAAGGGAGGCTTTTTCAAAATCGCCCCTTTTAATGATTTTTAACCCCAGTATTAGGGTTAGTGGAGTGCACCAGGGTAGGGTTAGGCCTGTGGTGGTGAACCCATGGCACGCGTGCCATAGCGCGCAGAGCCCTCTCTGCTGGCACGTGAGCCAAGTCGCCCCAGCATCGCCCCAGCAGCCGAGCATCGGATAGCAGCGCACAAGCTGCACCTCACGAGCCACGGCTCGTCCGTGCTTTCCCATGATTAGTCATTGCACTGCCAAGGAGATGTGCGTATGTATATTTGCTTGGACTGGCCATGAGGTGTTTTTTCTAAACCAAAACCTCGGTTTTCGTGTTTTGTTGTCGTGTTCGCACTTTGCGGTAAATAAGTGGGTTTTGGGTTGTCGTTTGGGCACTCGGTCTCTACAAGGTTCGCCCTCGCTGGTCTAGATGGCGCCAAAGGGGTGTTGGAAAGGGAAAGCTTTCGCCAAGTGCCTGACGCTCAGCAAGGTGGGTGCCTGGCGAATCCGCAGCAGCAGGGTGTTGCACAGGTGGGGGGGCCGCACAGAGCAGGCCCTGCTGCTGGCAGCCTTCCCCTTCACCTCCGTGGGAGAGGGACCCGTGGGAGGGCCCAGTCGGTGGAGAGGTGCTCTGTGTACCCTCCAGGGCCCTCTCTCCTTCCACTTGCACTTCCCCCAGCCCTCAGCAGCTGGCCTTGGTGCTCTTGCAGCTGCTGCTGGCTGTGCGTCCCCGTCCCCGAGGCGACATGGCAAGGGCGCACGTACGCGGGGCGCAGGTTTACTGCGTTAGGCCTGGCCGATCGCCGCGTGCGGCAGTGTGACGGAGCCTTTCCCCTGGCAGAGGGCCAGTCGTGCTGTGCTGGGCTTTGCCCGCTGGCACGACTCCCTTCCCTGTGGCTTTGTCAGAGTTCTGTGCCGGCCCCCCACCCCGGCTCCGGCACATCGCACACCACCCTCCCTCCCTCCCTCCCTCCCTCCCTCCTCCTCACATGGCGTTGTTCCCGCTGCCCTTGCCTGTGCCCAGCCCAGCGCTCCTGCTGCCGCACCCCGGCTGGGGCGAGCTCCCTCGGGCAGAAGGCCCCCCAGAGTGCTCGGAGCAGCACCGAGAGCAGCCCAGGGGGACCTCGTGCTTCCTGCGGCTGGTGCAGGCTGCCCAGCTGCTTGCGGAAAGGCCGTGGCGCACGGGAGCCCCCGTGTGCTGCACAGAAGCCCCTGACTCCAGTCCAGCACCTCCAGGCTGGGCAGCAACGGAGCCCCCAGAGAGCAGAAGCTCCTGCAGCATCTGTCTGGCATCGCTTTGCACTCTTTCGCAGACCCTGATGGCTCGAGGGCTCCATGATGGATCGGGGTGGGGGAGAGGGGCCCTCCGTGTACTCCAGGGCCTTGTTTGCTTCCCCGTTCTGCGATCTCCAGCTCTCCGCAACTGCACTGGCACCATCGTGCCTTGGGCTTGGTCCTAGGGGTTCATGCAGTGCCTTTCGTCCTGCCTTGTGCGAAAGCGGAGGCTAGAACGAGGGGCGGGGTGCGTCAACCTCGGGCGATCTCTGTTTTCTTTTTAAAGTTGAAGCTCATCATCCGCTGTTGATGATGTCGATTTCCACGCAAAAGTGTTTGCGAAAAGTCCCCCCTGGTGGCACTGAGCGTGCGCTCCGGCTTCCATGCACGAGGAGCACTTGGCTGGTGGGATCGAGCCGAGGTCGCTGCTCTGTGCAAGGATGCCAGCGACCATCGGGCCTCCGGAAATTGGCCGATGCCAAGCATCCGGTAGGCAGGGGATCCCGCGCTGCGCTGAAGCTCAACTTGGGCCCGCCTGAGCGTTCCTTTGGGGAGCCTCGGAAGGCGTGATCACCAAGCTCCGGGGAGCTCGCTTCCGTGTTTCCGGCTTTGCCCACCATCTTCTGCTGCCAGCAAATGGACCGCCTCCACGCATTCCCTGCGCTCTCCCTTACCCGGAACCTGTGCTCATCCTCCTGGCCGCGGCATGGCCGAGGCCTGGCCTGCATCACAGCTGCTGGCGGGCGGCCAACTGACCACTGGCAGTACTTGGAGGAAGCAGCATTCTCTCTGAGTCAGCCCAGGTCCCTTGCCCCCCCCCCCCTCGCTGCCCCAAATGCGCTGGCTTTTAACTTTCTCAGCTTACACTGCTAGTGCAGCTTGGCAGGCTGGCTGGCTGGCTGTTTCTCCTGAGATGGTGGGTTGGGGTCAGATCTCATTCTGTGACTGTTGCTGATTCCTTACGAAGCCGCGGGCACCTCCCAAGAAGAAAGGAGAAGGCTTCCCTCAAGCATCAGCTGCCCTGGTGGTTAAACAGGAGCATATTGCGAGGGGAAGCAAAGTTGCCAGGAACAGAAGCTTTTGTTGTGGCCAAAAGTTCAAGTTTCCAGCTTCCTCTTCCTCCACCTGTCAAGGGGTTGAAGCGGTCCCGGCTTGCAGGCGCTGAGCACAAACTCAAACATGCCCTTTGGGCTCCGGCTTTTAAGGAGCAGCTACCCGGAGTCGCTCACCCAGAACTCGGGATGGGAGGCTTGAATAGAAGGCCCATATGTCTGGGGGTGGGGGAGGCGGGAGCCGAGTGCCTCTGTTGCAACAGGAGATGAGCTGCCCAAAGACAGGCGGCTCGTGGGGTTGCCTGCCTTTCCTCCAGACTGGGGCGCTGGCCGGGCCTGTCGCCAAGAGGCCCGGAGTGACCGTCCGAGACGCGGGCCTTGCGCCTGCCTGCCAGGGTGCTGCTTTGCACACCCGTCCCAGGCGCTTTCTGGGGAACTCGGGAACTGTCTGCTGAATAGCACTGATTGGTAGAGGGACACTTCTGTGGCGGGGAGCTGGACCAGACACGGCCTGCTCCTTCTTGACGGGGGGCGGGGGCGGGTGCTGCCCTTCCTCTCCCAGCAATTCTGCCTGCTGGCTCGCTTCATAGCTTTGCTCTCAGGTCTCTGGAAGCTCTTCCCCGCAGGCCCCAAGTCCCCACTGAAGAGGGGAAATGGACTGCTCCTGTCAGCCAGGCCCAGTCAGGGAGGCCGGCCGGCCCTGTCGGGTTCCTGGAGGGAGCACCTTGGTGCGTGGTGCAGTCTCTCGGCCACATGGCTGCGCCAGCTCTCCGGAGGCAGGCCTTCCTTCCTCGCCAGAGCGGGTTTGGCTGTCGCTGCCATTTTATCCTCATTTATTTCATCAGAGCCCAGATCAGAGCTTCCCCAGACGACGGAACAAAGAGCCCACCCAGCCCCACCCAAGCCCTTGTCGGACAAGGACCGCAGCCTTTCGGAGCTCTTCCTCGGCTTGGCCTTGAAGAGCGGCTGCATTTGGCTCAGCGATGGCAGTGCAGCGACGGGTGCGTGGGCAGAAAGCCCGCCTTTGCTGCAGGAACCATGTCATGCAGGGGGAGCGGGCCTGGTGCTTTTCTGCTGCCCCCCCGGCAGATGGTCTTCCGAGGTGCCTCTGCACATGGAGGCGCCCAGCCTCTCACGGACTTGTTCCATCCCCTTGTGGATCTGGCGGAACCACTGGCCACCGCAGCTGGAACGATCGCCTTCCATCCTGCAGGAACCTTCTTTTGCCTTTTCGGGGCCTACAGCCAATCCGTCTCCTTGGTTTCCCTGAGCCATGCGATTATTCGGGGTAGACATATTTCAGAGAGTGCGATCTTGCCTGCCTCTTCCCCCCCAGTCATATTTTTCTGAATGAAGAGGGCCCGCGTGCTCCGGGCTGCACACAGGAAAGGGGCCACAGCTCCCCGGTTCCTGTGGCTTTTCCATCCTGGCACTACCCTGCCTGAGGTGGGGCAGCCGGGACCGTGTGCAGCGTTGCATCCGTGGGCGCACTGCCCCTGTGTAGAAAGGTGCTCTCATGCTGCCTGGTTGGTTCTCTGTTCCCTCATCGCCCTCTCCGCCAGCCACCGCCTTGCCCGTGTTCATATTCGGTGCTGGTGGCCGTTGGGCAGCTAAGCGATCCTCTTGAAGCACCCCATGGCCTGCTTGGTGTGGGAGCAGTGAGAGGAGGAGAACGGGGGGGCCATGAGGAAGGGGCCTGGGCCCGGGCCCGGGAGGATCGTGCTGCTGGCGGCCCTGGGGAGATGCCGGCCGCGCTGCTCCTCTTGGCCTGAGGAGATCTGCCCCAGTTGTGCCCCGAGCATGTCTGCTCATGGAGCTCTGAGCTGGGATCTCTTCTTGCGAGGCCACAGTGGCTGTTTTGTTGAAGGCGTGGACGGACGTGTGATAGTGAGCAGGCGCAGCCATGAAACAGGCGAGGGGAACCGCGCTGCGCAGGAAAACGGCTCCGCAGCGCCTGGCACGTGCCCGGCCAGCTGGACGTCCAGGGCATCGTGGGGCCTTTTTCTGTCCGAATATGCACAGGCCCGCACGGTTAATGTTGCACTCACATATGCCTGACTCCAGAGTTTGTGATGTTGCCACACCTGTGTTAGTGTGTGGTTGTGTGAGTCTTTGGGTGCCATTTCACTGAGCTCCTTGGGCCTTATTTGGTTAAAATGTGGATAAACGTCCTTAAAGATTGATCAGAGAAGTTTATTTAATTAGCAGTAAAATACCCCTGTTGGTAAATACATTTGGTTGTCTAGGAGCTGAGCAGTGGTCGTCGCGTTATTGATTTGTTGTGATTAAATCAGGCTGGGAATATATTAATGATGATCACAAGTGCCCCGAACATAAAGTTCAGCTGTTTCACAAAGCTGCTAAGTTGCTCAGCAGCAATGTGCTGATTTTAAAAAATGCCCCTAATGGAAATGTCGATGCGGGTGGTGCTGCTCGGCGGCACTGTGCTCGTCCTGCGTCCTGGCCTTCCCAGTCCATCATGTGAGAGAGCCCGAAGCGCTTCGCATGCCTTTTCCGCGCCGGGGCTCCCAGCCCGTCCCGCAGCCGTTGCTCTCGCTTGCGGGTGGCGCTGGCAGGGTGCGGCTGCGTCTTGCCGCGGGGATCAGCAGAAGCTATCCTGGAGCATCGTTCAAGGCATCCCTCCTCCTGCCCCAGCTTTCGCAAGCCTCCCACCCTCTCAGGCAGGGTTGTTCCTCTCCACCACCCCTCTCTCCAAGTTTGTGCGGTTACGACATGACTACTCCCTCATCTTTTGGGGGATTAGTGAGTTGCCATAGATGGAGCGTCTGCTAGCAAGGGAAGGATGTAAAGGCAGCACTTTCTGGTTTCCTAGCAACAGCAGCTTTTACCAGTCTGGTGGTGAAGTCAGGCAGAGCAAAACCATACAGGTTCCTGTGCTGCACTCATTTCTGTGTGTTGCTCTTCTGCAACGTGGAAGAACAGGAATGCTGGAACTGACCTGATACATTTTTAAGTTCCTGTCAGAGTTTGCTGCTCATGGTTGCGTGTGTTTGGGCCCTTGTCCCTGTTGCTGGTTGCCAGGTGCGCAAGTGGGCATTGCACTCTGGGCGGGGAGTAGACGAAGCAGAGGCAGGTGGCTGAGAAGTCTGGGCCAGAAGTAGCCCGGAAGGAAGCAGCAGCAGCCCTGGGCTTGGTCCCCCTTCCTTTGGCTGGCAAGCTGGGAAAGGCCTCTGGCTGGCTGGGGGCTGCGGGAGGGCGGGCTCGTGGCACTGCTGCCCTCCCCGCGAAGGCGTCGCAGCAGGAGAGCTGCCTTGTGACCAGGCCAGCCACATTCGCAAGAGCAGCCGTGGCCCTTTCAGGGTTCCAGATGTGTCCGCAGGTGCCAGAGGGCTGGGCACTGCTCCTCTGTGTCCGTGGAACTCTTGTGGCGGCAGATCCGATCTCAGGATCGCAGGCCTGGGAAGCCACACGGCTGCAGTGTCTCGGTGTCTCCACGTCCCCCCCTCTTCCTCTTTTTCTTCCCTGGCGCCCATGATGGGATTGCAAGTCACTTTGAGAATGGATCTGGCCCCGTGTATAGAGGTGGCAGGAGAGGAGGAATAAACACATTTTGAAAATGCATTTGCAGGACTGCGGTTTTCCACTAGTGCACATATTCTTTGGCATCCCTTTATTATATATGTATTTATTTGAAATCTTTCTGTATTGTTTCTCATTTGCACAAATCCCAGAGTGGTTTGCAACAACACAATAAAATAATCCCAGACACCCAGCTCGCTCCAGTAACAGAGTATGAGAAAATTGCTATCACTTGTGGTAGTGAAGAAGCCAGAGTTTAAAAAAAAAAATCACGGGGCACCTAAAGCAGCCAGCACTGTGGCTTGGCACACCACAAAGGGGAGATTACTTCCCAGGGCAGGGACAGCCACAGGTATGGCCCACCTCTGGGTCACCATGACAGAAACCTGAAGGCTGCGGCCTGGACAGCAGCTCTTTCCCGGAGACTGTAGTGGCCCAGGCAGTTGACACAGGAAGAGCCGTATCCTGCGTTACTTAAAGCATGGAGAAAGAGAGTTCAAGGCATCTCAAAATGATTATGAAACGTGGGCACAGGGGTGGTGAAGGGCCAAGATGGTGGAACTGGCTGGACGCTTTCTTTCTTGCCATTGGCTGTGGTGGAGGAGAGATCAAGTGAGGCAGGACTTAGTTAGCAGCCTAGAAAACAGAGGGGATGGTGGAGAAAAGAGTATCTCCATTTTTGGAGTTGTGATCGGCGTAGAGACAAGGAATGAGCCGTGGCTGCAGACTGCCAGCATGGGGGGGGGGGGGTGCTGGGGGCTCCAGCGGCGGTTTCCACCAGCACCAGCACCTCCCTGCACACCAGAAGGCCTCCCTGCGTCTGCTCCTGCCCTGCAGCAGGGGTTGTCTTTACATCCTGCCTTTTTTCTTTCTGAGGAGCTCGAGGCACCTTCCACCGTCCCCCTCCTCCTCTCAGTCTTATCCGTGCGGCAACAACCCTGCGAGGTAGGCTGGGTTGAGAGTCTGAGACTGCCCAAAGTCACCCCATGAGCTCCATGCCCGGGTGGGGACTCGAACCCAGATCGTCTGAGTCCCTGTCCCACGTTCCTTACCACTGCCCCACACTGCCTCTTGCTAGTTGACCTCCCACTGAGGAATTTCACTCTCTAAAAAGTATTCATAAAATTTATCTATTTATTTATTTAAAACATTTCTATGCCGCCCCCATCGCATTTACTGACCAGATGGAGAAAGGGAATGACTTCAGGAATAATTTGGAATAGAAGATACTGTCCAAATATTTTAAGGGCTATTCTTTCATTGATATATAAGGAATGTTTTTGTTTTCACAGCATTTTATCCACATGTGATTTATCTGTTTGTAATGTAATTACTAGATTTCATTTTGCTTATATCTGTTTTGTTTGTAACTAATAAAATAAATTGGTTTTTTTAACAGAGCACAGGGCTTTTGCATCTAAATATGTACAGAAGCCTTGAAAGTGTTGTAAACACATAAAATAAAATTAAACTCAAATGAATCTTGTTGCATTAACCATTATTGAAGTTTTATAGCTGTGTAAGGATCACTGCCCCGCCATTGTATATGTGAAATACATGCTGAAAATGTTATCCTTCTGGTCTTGCACTGCATGTGTGTAAAGTTGCATAATACATAAAGATGCAGATATCGTAAGCATTGTCTCCAACAGAAAGGTGACGTTTGGAATATACAGGACCCAAGATGTGCTGTTTTCAGAACTGCCTGGAAACAGATGTTCTTTATTTGTCTTTCTCTCAAAAGAGGGACATGACCAGTATCCCGTAATAGTTAAGGTACCTACACACCATAAAGAGGCCTGAAACGTGACCCGCACGTACCTTAAGATATCCCCTGTTGCGGGGAAATGGAAAAAGAGGTACACTGAAGGACTAAAAACCTGGGACATAAAGTTCTGCCTCAGAATAGAGACCAGGATGCCGGTGGAGCAGAATATCAAGCCCTGGAAAGTCTGTGGCCACTCTTGCCCTTGGGCCTGGCGGGGCAGTTACCTGTCATCCAGCAGCGGTCTAATAAATAAATAAAATAAAAAATAAAAAAGATGTTTCTGCGGCAAAAGCCTGCAGCTGCTCATCTTTGATAGCGGCACTTGGATTTCGTGCTGTAAGCAGGAGGCTGCCCAGACGGCCCGCGAGTTCCCCCCGGCTCGGCTCAGTGGTCCGGGGGAACCATCAGGGCTTTACAGCAGCACAGGTGTGTGGAAGGTGTTAAAAGTACTTCCACAACGTGTGGAGCTCAGAAGCTTGCTCCTGATGCTTTGCTCAGTGTTCACTGATACGTTCAGTGCCGGAAAACTAGATGTTTCAGTCTCGTTTTGGAAAGTCTGCACTTTCTATTTATATATTTATTTTCTTTGCTGCCCATTAGCAGACATTTCCTGAAGGGTTCACAGCAATTCAGAAAAGCACAAATCGCGAATATTATAAAAACGGCCAAAAAATTCAATATGCAAAATTTAAAACAGAATCTGAAACCCTTTGAGCATCTAACACAATCTCACTACAGCTAGGCTGGCACAGGTGCCTCAGTGTGCCTTTAAAGGCTATGGATTGTCTTGGAGAACAGGGATCCATCAGCGAGTCTGTAGCCCTCACATGGCAGAACACAGCCTGGAACCAGCTTGTCTGTGCTTGTACAGACAGTGAGGCAGGAGGGGGCTTACGAGAGCTCCCAGACGGAGCCCTTGCGCAGGCTCTGCTACTTTGGGCAGGGTGCCCTTTTGGAACTACTGTCAGCAGCGACGCACTGGCTCCAGTCTGGCCTTCCAGACTGGCTGGTGCAGCTTTGCTCAGCTTATTCCGCCACTCACAACATGTCCCTCCTTGTTTCTGTGGGCAAGAGAAATGCGGGTCTGCATGGACGGCTCTGTGTGTGAAGGAGGAAGAGGGGGACCACATGCCCCGGGCGTGGCTCACGCATGTTCAAGCTCACCCACGCATCAGTAAACCACAGTGTGGCGTTAAGTGGACACCAGTGCATCGACTCATTGGGCTAATGGGCATGTTGTACCTCTGTCTCTCTCGGTTCAGGTTGTTGCAGGAAGGAGCCAGCGTGAATGCCCGGCACAAACTTGGCTGGACGGCCTTGATGGTAGCAGCTATCAACCGAAATTCAAGGTAAGCGTTTCTGTGCTTATCCATGCCAGCTTTTAGCCAGTTTTCGCATGGCCATCTACAATTTGAAATACGAAAACAAATCAAAATATGCAGTGGAGAAAATGGTGAGGAAATTTTATTTTTAGGCTGGAAGCTGAACTGGGGAACCTCCCGCAGTACTTGGAAATGCGCAGCCAGGCTCTAGCTGTTGTGAGCTTTGGGGGAGAGGTGTGCTGCATCTGTGAAGCCCTTCACAGAACTCTCTGCTGACACGCCACAGGTACCTGGACTTGGCAAACAGGTGGCCTCGCTCACAGTGGTGCTGACTGACCTTTGCAGTCCTAAGGATCTCTCCCTCGGGTTGGATTGTTGCTCAGAGGTGGCCGTGTCGTCAGGCCTCTCCTGCAGCCGTCCGATGGAGGAAAGAGCCCAGAAATGCAGCCTGTGGTCCAGAAAGATCACTGCAGAAAGGCCATCCAACCTTCACCCCGGGGATGGCAGGGCTAAACTGAGTAGTGAGCTGGCTTCCACTGGCAATTGTGAGCCGTCCCTCCCCTCTGTTGAGGAAAAATGCCTTGTTCTTTAGTGTTTCCTTCCATGGTTTTCAGGGCTGCCTCATGGCGGACCTTGAGTTAAGAGGATGCTCGTGGCCACTGGGATTAGAACAGGGGCTCAAAACGCAGATCCTCGCCTCACCAGACTGCTGAGGAAAAGCGGGGGACAAGGGCGAACAGCACTGTTGCTAGCAACGCAACCAGATCAAAGCCAAAAGGAGCTCTGGGGACTGACGTTCGCAGAGACCGAAGGAAAGTGCAGGGCTGCACCATGCATCGAATTGGAACATGGAATGCAGGAAGAATGGATCGAGGCAAAGTGGAACCCATCGCGCAAGCAGTGGAGCCGTTGGTCGTGGCGACGCTAGGCCGACTGGAGCGGGACATTTTCAGTCGGACAAACACAGAGCTTTCTAATCTCGAACTGACCAACTCGGGAGAAATGGAATCGTTCTAGTGCTGAGGCAGGTGCAGCACAGGCAGTAACGGGCTATAATGCAAAATCTGACCAAGTCATACGAATGGTAGAAACGGAGGGGGCCATCTCCCCGCTTCTTGCAGGACACCAAGTTCATGGAAAACCTTTGAACATGGCCGTAATTCAACTCTGCTCCCACAACAGATGCTGAAGAAGAAATGGAAAACTTTTATGCAGGCATCTGAGCACAGTAAACCAGGACATGCTGGCACATGGGTGACTAGAACACAAAAGTAGGAATCAAAGAAGAATCTAACTTTGTGGGAGAAAGTCTCGGAATAGAATGGTTTCCATAGGCAAAGGCATCAGACAAAGGTGCATTTCATCTCCCTGTCTGTACTCAGAACATATAAGGGAAGAGCTGGATTAGGAAGGAGTGAAAATTGACAAAAGATACACCAGTAATTTAAGATATGAAGATGATAACCTGTTGCTGGCAGAAAACAGCAGTGAATTGGAACAACTCCTGATGAAAGTGAAAGAAGGCAGAAGCCAGACTGCAGCTGAACATGAAGAAAACAAAAGCGATCTCTAAAGGAGACTTGCACAGTTTAATGTCGGCGGTGAAGGAATTGGTTATTGTGAAAGATTTTGCATACCTCAGCTCACTCGTCCATTCAAACGGAGGCTGCAGCCAAGAAATTTGAGGAAGACTGAGTCTTGGAAGGGCAGCCGCGAAGGAAGCATCAGAAGATTACCAAGTGTAAGGACATTTCCAGTATGTCCTTGGAAGGAGACCAAGATCAAGGAAATCCACACTGTTGTATTCCTGATCACTCTGTCTGGGAGCAAAAGCTGGCAGTGAAGCAAGCACGCGGGAAGAAAGCTGAAGTGTTTGAAACATGGTTCTGGCAGAGAAGTTTGGCTCTTGGTCAGGGGCTCCCTGGGCCCGGTGGGGAATCACGCGGCACCGTCTGCGTTTAAAGCACGTGTTCCCTGACCGAGCTCCAGTCCTGCCCAGTGCCGTATCTCCTCCTGCGAAGCGTGGGTGCAGGACCACTGGCGCAGTGCATGCCCACTGCCCACCCTGGCCGAGAAGCCACTCGCCACGCCTCACCTCTGGGGACCGGGGAGGCTCGTTGCCTGCTCGGGCTTAAGGAATACGGAGGGGCTGAAATCAGACGCACGGGGATCCATGCCTGCTCTGGGGCCTGTGGCGCTCCTGCACGGCATGTCCCACGGAGCAGATTCGCCTTCGTGCCCCGCTTCTCCGGCGTGGAAGCGCGGTGGCGGCACTGCCTCCACGTCCCCAAGGTTCCCAGGACAATCGCCACGTCTCCTTGTAACCTTTAAAGGCAACTCTTCAATGCATTCAGTCTACGACTAAATTCAATTAGTTTTTATTTAAAGATGAGGCAAAAGGAGGAGAGAGAAATCCAATTTTAGGAAACGTGGGACAGCCAGTTGGAATGGGCTTTGATGTTACAACCTCTCAGGGATGCTTTACTTAGTCACAAGTTCATAAGCAAAAAAGGCTTAATTATTTGGGAAAACACAGGATTAAACTGGCGTACAAAGGCTGAATATCCGCTCTCAGGCGACACGATACGAATCCATGTGCCGAGTTCGTGTGTGGTGCAAACTTTGATGTGTGCTATGACAAGCTGAAAGTCGTGACCTCCTCGGGGAGCTCCTTAAAACGGGCCGAGAGGCAGGGGCCCGGGGGCTGTTTGTTTAACTTTGATGTCCAAGCAGCAGTGGGCTCCCCTGTTTGCACCGCTGCGGAGGGGTGGATTTAGCGCCCCCCGACCTTTGCCGATAGACAATGGCCAGCGACGGAGTGTGACGATTGTTGACCATTCCGAGGGACCGCTGGACCAGAACAGGGTTTTGGAGGCGCGGAGGAGAAAGGCCGTTCATGCTACAGTAATTGACCCAGGTGGTTCTTCATCCCATCCTCACCCCATTTTAGGCCCTTTATCTGCAGAAGGGGCCGCAGGGCTGCCTCTGAGTTAACCCTGGCTGAGCAGGCCAAGGTGTGTCTGGTTTGGACTCGGCACAGAATGTTTGCAGCAGTGCTGGCTGAGCCAGATTGCCTTCTGCTCTCTTCTTTAAAGCGAGGGGCGAGGAGGAAAAGGGAGGCGCCCCGCATGAATGCTCGCGATGGGGCCAGGCTCCGCGCCTCGGCGGGACGGGGCGGGGGACGAAGCGAGAGAAACAGCTTCCCTCCGAAGAGGGCGGCCCGGCCCTTCCTCCTGGCCTGCTGTACCGCTGGGGCTGCGATAGTTCTCGCTGGGGCCCACCGTCTTCTCTCTGGCTTGCGGGGTAGAGCATCTGGCTGGATCCCCTGGACTCTTCCCTGGGAAAGGCATCTTCGCTTTCCCCGGAAGCTTCTGCTAAGAGGGGATTCGCACAGGCTCTCAGCTTGGTGGCTTGGCCTCTCGCACAGCCATTTTTCACTGGGAAAGACACGCCGTTTTGTTACTGCCTCTCCGCTGGGGGCGAGGAGCTTTTTGGAGGCTCTCGCTCCTCCTGGTCATTCTCGGTGCAAGGTTTTCAGCAGCACTGCCAGGCAGGCGCCTTCCCCCTCTTCACAGACGGCTGGGCCGAGACAGAGGGTGCGGCTTTCCCAGGGCCACCCAGCTTCGTGATGGGCTCAGGTCACAAGTGTGGAAGTGGGCCTTGCAACTTGTGCTCTTACCTGCCAGGCAGCGCCACCACGCAGCTCCCCACGAAGGCCACCTGAGCGGGATGGTGTGACTTGTCCTGCAACAGCAGGGGTAGGGCCCGGTGGCCTTCATGGCCTCTTCCAGCTCTGCTCCCCCATGATTCTATGAATCCACCCCTCACTTGTGGACTCGCACGTGGCACTTCTGTTGCGACGGCCCTGTTGTTCGGAAGGCAGGCACGCACATTGCCAGCTTTCGCCCGTTTGGCTCTGCCCTTCCCCACAACTGAAGAGTGTCCCCCTCTCCCCCCACCCGGCATGCTGCACCTCCATTCCTCCAGCTCTGCCATGGCAGGCTGGGGGCAGGCGGAACTGCTGCGGTGTTGAGGAGGCACGGATCCTGCCACAGGTTGAAGAGGCCAGGCCCGACAGCCCCCGTGCCCTGCAGCATCACTGCCTGGCCAGGAACAGCAGAAAGCACTTAACCAGCATTGATTTAGCTGCCTGGTGAACTTTAGTCAAAGGCTGCGCTCCGGGGTCAGTGCAGATTTATGTGTGTGCAGATGAGGCGGCTTGCTGCTAACGCAATTAAGAGCTGATCAGCAAATTAAAGCCCTGGTTGGGCGAGGCAAGAGAGCACCAGCTCCATCTCGGCTTATTAAGGCCTGCCTAATAGCGCATGAGCCCGGGTCTGTTACCAGAGGACTTGGCAGTTTCTGTGGCTGGCTGGCTCTGCCTGTGTGCGTGCGCAGCTGCCCTGAAGTCCCAGAGCCAGGGCCCCAGTGGGACCTGGGGCCACTTTGTTCACCACACCAGAATGTGAGAGAGAAAGAGAGAGAGGTACGTGCACCCGTTGATGGGAGCTGTGATCCCTGCAGAGGAAGCATGTGGCCAAAATCGGGGTGGGAGTGGCCTTACCTTTCTCTAGTTGAGTTCAGTTCTCCTGAGCAACACTGAAGCATGTGCCCATTTTACAGTTGGAGCAACTGACACATAAACAACTCCGTTTGCCCTGCTTCCTTGTTCTTTCTGGCAGTAATCCAGAAATTCTTTAGGAAAGGATTCATGGTCTCTTGTCTTTTGTTTGACAAAATGTTTTTGTTTAAAAACATTTTCTTAAAACTTTCTGGTTGTATACTAATATTGTTAATTGCTGTGTTGCTGTTGCAATATTGTAAGCTATCCTGGTACCTACTGGGCCCTGTGGCAGAATATAAATACAATAAATAAATAAAATGACTTTTTAATGGCTGTTTTGCTCCTCATTCACCTTTGTAAAGGCTAATTTGCTTGAAAGTTGGAGTATGTTTTGTTACCTGCAAATTGGACAGGAGTGATCAATATTTGTGATCGCTCAAATGTCAGGCTGGCTCTGTAAAAGGCAGGGATGGTAATGTGAGCTGCCTGGAGGGGAACGGCCTGCCATTTTGCAGGGACATTAGACTGAAAGGCAGTTGCATATGGAGGGCCTGGAGAAGGGTTGCTTATAGTCCTGTAGACTGGCTCCTCCCTTCTGCAGCCTCCGTACCGCAGATGGGGAGGCACCGGGTTCGAGACTGTGGCTGGATGTGGCATGCAGGTCCCAGCAGGCCAGAAGCAGAGAGGCGGGTGCCCAGCCGGGGCCTGGGAAGCCTGGCGCTGCCTCGCCCTGCAGCACGCAAGCCATGCAGCGGGCTGCACGGGGGGCCTAAACCAGGCGGTCTCGGGCCGGTTGCACAAGTGGGCTCGCCGGGGCATTCTAAGCCACCATTTCCTTTTACAGAAATCATCCGTCGACTATATTTATCGTAAACCATTCCTTTAAAAAGTTGAGTCAATTTAATCCCATAAAATTATGTTTTAAAATACACAAGGCTAGTACAATAAAATTGTGAATGTTATCAGGGGTTAAAGGCAGTCCAAAAGTCCCCATTTAAAAGCCATTGAAGTGGGAATGCATCTCTTCCCCATCCGCCATTCCTTAAAAGATCATCTCCGGCATCTGGTGGCCGTCTGTGTACGTACAATGAGGACTGGCACCGGAGAGTCGCTGTCGCCATGGAAAAGGTCCTGCCTCAGTGGCCCTTGCTTCACAGCAGCAGGTAGTTACATTTTCCTGCGATGCTTCCAGACCTGCAAGGAGGCTGTTGTCCTTTTCCCATTGTCTTCCCGCAGGCTGGAGAGAGGAGCCCCCTAATTGGCTCCTATTTAGCAGCTACATGGATGCCACCCCGATCGAGGAATGTCCTCACCTGGTGGATTCCATACTTTCCCATAACACGAATCTAGCAGGACTTCTCTCTATCTACCAGGTGGTTTATTGGGGACAAGCTCCCACAGGTAACACACACATCAGTACAACTAGCAATCACTGCAATAGTTGGTTGTCTCCCGTGGTTGTCCTGTTTAGAGTAGACCTGCTGTGATGAATGGGACTAATCAAGCCGGCATTGAATAGAACCTCTTCTTGGTCTTGGCAGCCTCAGGCAAAGCCTTACTGTCGCTTATCACATTTGGAGCGGAAGCAGAGCTGCAAAGCACCTGGCTACAGGTGAGCCCCTCCTTAGCTAGCTGACAGTGGCAAGCAGGACTCCCCAATTCATTAGCCTCTCTGTCTGAGGGCCAGGTTGGGCAAGGGGGCAGGTGGGTAACGCATCATGGTGCTGTCCTCTGGTGCTTCGCACGGTGCTCCGCCGTCCTCTGTTCCCTCCTCTTCACGGCCTGCTTTGCTGACCTGAAGGCCAACCTTCCCTCTCCTCCCTTTCCCCATGTGCTGAGTTGCATAGCCCTCCCTGAGCAAAGGCTCACTTACAGAAGAATGTGTCACCCTTGCCTCGTTAGCCCCGTGGGGCAGTTTGCCGAAGCCATGCGTGCTGGTGGACACTTCATCGACCTGTGCTTCATATTCTGGACTTGGCTTGCTGTGTCTATTCTTCCATGCTCGACGTACAGCAAGCAATCCTTCCCCCCGCCGCCTGCTTTCACACCTCTGCCCCCTTCCTCAGCACTTATTAAGCCCCTCCAAGAACTAACTCCAGCATTTCTTCTCACTATTCTCTTCCAACAGTGTGGTGAAGCTTTTGCTCACAGCTGGAGCTGATCCAAACCTGGGCGATGAGTTCAGCAGCGTCTACGAAACCGCCAAAGAGAGGGGGCTTCATTCCCTAGAAGGTAATGGGAGCACTGCGGCGATCTTTCTTTTCCTGCCTTACTTCCCAGAGCCATGTTCACTTTCTGGTCTCCTCAAACACCTGCGTAGCTGGCCTGCAGGTGAAATTCCTTGCATAAACCCCGCCCTTATCCCAGGACTCCTGCAATTCCCTGTCCTGTCCTCTTGCAAGCACACAGTCAGTCTCTGGACCCAGAGATTAGAGGCGGAGGCGTAGACAGTTTTTAGAAAGAAGTTATTTTACAACCAAATTGCAGCCATTGTTTTAGTCTAGCCTAGGTAAAATAAAGGCAGCTGTTCTTCACGGCTGGCTACCGAATCGGCTTAGTGTCAGGCCCCCTGCGCTCTTGGGCCCAGCAGCCACTTCTGGCTTCCTGAAAATACACGGGAAGCCGTGCCAGCCCAGAGCGTGGTTTGCAGGCTGAGAAAGGCCCGATGCGTGAAACCGGGGGCCCTGCCGGCTGGCGGCCAGCGCGGATCGTCTGATCCGAGGCATGTGTCCCGGCTGCGCTTCTGATGGCAAGTCCGGGAAGTGCAGTCACTCATCACGAAGCATCCATCGCCAGAGCCCCAGGTTTAGTCCTGACATCGCTCGCTCGCTTCCTTCCTTGGTCAAGGCCTCCAGCCCTCCTGGTCCGGCAGGATCCTCTCCTCCAGAGCAGGCTTTGTACAGCAAATGGTTCTTAACTGCTTACTCAGACCAGGCCCTTCGAGAGACCTTGAACCGCAGCAGGAGAAGCTCACCACGGCGGATTGTTGCCGGGAAGGTCCCCGTAGCCACTGCAAGGAGTGCGGCTAAGCCAGGGAGCAGGCGGGCCTGGGTGTGGGGCGAATCCTGCCACAGCCGCAGAGCCTCAGCCCCGCGGACCGCGGCTGCGCTAGCGCCACCGCCGGAAGCTGTGCAGCGGGTCATAGCGGGGCCTGGAGAGCACCCTGCACGTGCACGGGGACCTCTCTGCCCTCGTCCATGAACGCCCCTCCGCCCCTGCCTGCCTGCCTGCCCGCCCGCTGCCCAGGGCTGCTCTGCCTCAGAATGCAGGTCAAGCCGGCCTCCCCATCCTGGTTCCTTCTGGATGCGTTGAGCTGCGTTTCCCAGCAGCCCAGGCTGGAGAGGCGGAACTGGATGCCGATTGCCATCGGAATCTCCCAAGCTCGCTCGTGTCATTCGCACATTGTGAGCTGAGACGGGGTCCGCATAGCGCTTGGCCTTTGGCGAGGTGTGGTTTCCAGGGGAAGAAGGTGTTCATTCAACGCCAAAGGGGTGGACATTGTGTGCGTGCTTTGCTTTGCTCCAGCAGTGTCCCGGCTTTGGGAAACTCGCCTGAATTGGCATTCATATAGGAGAAACCAGTGACGGTTAAAAGCCAAGGTCAGCGAGGTGATCAGGTTTCAAACCCAGTGGAAAGGGAAGAAGCCGGTGCCCTGACCCAGTCGGTGTGGGGGTAGCGGAAATGGCAAGGTGCCTAAATCAACATTTAAGAAATGGAATGACAGTAGGTAATGCATCTTGCTAGGCTTTATTTAAGTCAAAAATATGGCAACCAATAAAGTTAATTTTTTGTCTGCATTCTCACCCTTGCTACCAGTATATTATTGCTTTTTGGTTGAGGAGGGTAGCAGTGGAGAGGAGTGGCTGGAGTGGAGGAAAATAAAGCTACTCCGAAGGAAGTTGCTTTTTTTTGGGGTTGACATGTTTTATTAAAAAGAATAAATTCAGTTGCATTTTTTTAAAGAAATCACACATGCAAGAGAGAAAAACTGCCTTTGTTTTGCAGGGTTATTTTTAACGATTTGCATATTTTGTGTATAAATTTTTTTTTCATAAAAACATCCAAATCGGGGGAGCCGCACACCATGGCCACCACTGCGCGTGCTGTGGAAAATATATTACAGACATTTATATGGATGGCAGGGAGGGGAGATGGAGAGCTGAAAATTTCCAGGCTCCCTGTGATGGATGGCAGACGAGGCTCCCCTTGACGCTTTATTGAGTTTCCGATGATTATCTCTCGTGGAGACATTTTTTACAGATGACGGCCGAGCTGTCATGGTGGACCACGGGGGGAAAGCAACCCAACAATAATAACACTTTAATCTTTTTACTGCACTGCTCCCTAGTATCTCAGATTCATCTTCTCTGACACCAGCCACTTGATTATCCTGCCCCTCCCTCGATAGGCAAAGGAGGGAAATAAATAAATATACATATCTTCCTCCCTCCCCGGCCAAACGTGCTCCCCCAGGCATTCTTATGCCAAAAGAGAAAAAAAGACCGGCGAAGGGGGGAGCCTGTCTCACTGATTGGTGCTTCTGTAGGTGTTGAGCTCTATTAGCAGTGATGCCATCCGGGAGAGGGACTGGCTATTCATTAGAGCGTTTTTGGTTTGGCTCGTAAGCGCGTAACCTCCTTTTTGGGGCTCCAGCAGCAGCCACGGGAAGGAGGTGCGGCCGGCGTTGGCTGCCGAGGAGCCCAACGCTGTTTCTGTCCCCTCGGGAATTGCAGGGGAGGAAGCCCTCCACCCTGGGAGCATTTGGTGAGCCCCGAGAGGGCACGTGCCGTGGTGGCTTCATGGCACCTTGCATACAGCGGGCACCTGTCCGGAGAACACCCAGCCTGAGGTCCAGGCCCTCGGCAGAATGGGCCTTTGGTCTGCCGTGCCCGATGCCTCTGCCCGTATCCCCAGCCCCGGCTGCTCAGAGTCATGGTTCTGCCCCTTAAACAGATCGAGGAGCTTCTGCCTTGCCTGGGAATTAAAGCCGGTGCCCGGCCCCTCTCTGCCTGCCCCGCAGCTGTGCTTCCAGGTCTGCCTTTGCAGCCCTGAAGGCTCGGAGCACCGGCTCAGTCTCGGAAGTCCGATACGATTCCAGCCGCTCAAATAAGATCCCCCTGATATTCAGAGAGCCGTGGCCGCGGTATACCTGGATCGATTCTGTGCTTGGCTCCTGTGGCGGGAGTGCCTCTGCCGGCTGTGGCGCGTTCGTGTCTGATATGCAGCTCCCAGGCTGCCTGGTTGCAGCAGACGCGGGTGAAAGGCAGTGTGAGCGAGCCGTGAGCGCCGTCTGTTCGAAGTGCTGCAACATGGGGAGCGTTCCAAGGGGCTGCCCTCTCGCTTAGATGATTTTACCTACGGACTAGGCAGATCTGTGCAAGGGGGAGAGGATGCCCCGAGTATTCCCATCGTAGCTGTGTGGAGCCTCCATATTCAGAAGCACCATCCTGCTAAATGCCAGTCTCTAGGGAGCAGCAACAGGGACGGATCCAGGCCTTTCTTGTCCTTGTGAGCTTCACAGAAGCCTCTGGCCGCATCCTGTGGGAAGGAAGCAGGGTAATGCCTCGGGGGCACCTTTGGAAGGCTGACCACATGTCCTAGTGTCCTGCAGGGCGAGACCACCAGCCCCTCAGTTGCCAAGACCCCAGTCCCAGGTGTCTGGCGTAATTCCCCCCTTATAGAAATCCCAAGGGAAAGTCTTGAACGTGGGCCTTCTTTGCTTGTGGGCCGCCCCGGCCCCAGCACCTTCTCTGCCCCTGCTCTGGAAAGCATGGAGCTTGGTATCTCGGCGCCTTGCGCTTCGTCCACCGTGGCAGTGACGATCCGCGCTTGTCCTTCTCGCTGTTCTCGTCCCTCCGCAGTGCTGGTCACCCGCGAGGACGACTTCAACAACCGCCTGAACAACCGGGCCAGTTTCCGGGGCTGCACCGCTTTGCACTACGCCGTGCTGGCTGATGATCACCCCACTGTCAAGATGCTTCTCGACGGAGGTAAGAGGAGACACCGAGGCTGCTGAGGACCGCGGGGGCGGCCTGGGGGTGTGGTGTGGCGAACCCCTTGTTTGAAGTGTGGTGGTGCCTGCAGGATCTTGAGGCTAAGCTGCTGTTTTTTTCTTTTGAAACACATGTACACCAAGTTTCTAGTCAGCGTGGCTTTTGGGCAGAAAGACACCGTAGGAGGATTTTGGGTAGCTTTTGCCAGATGCTTAGCAGTTCCAGGAGCTCTGGCCGGGGCTGTCCATCGCTCCTGTGTGGTGCTGCTCAATTGACCCGATCCCTTGGGATCGCATCCTCCCTTCTTGCTCCTGGCTTCTGCCTGTTCCGTTTTCCTGTCTCACCATTAGTACCCCGCAATGTGCCCTGGGCAGCATGCTGTGCTCTGCCTGAATGGGACGGGGAGGCCACTGCTCGAAGCGGCCGTGTTCCCTGGGTGAGCATGCGCAGAGCGCCCTTCCTGCCTCCCTCTCGAGGCCTCCTGTTCCACTTTCCTCCTTTCGTGGTGCCGGACACAGGTCTGCCGAAGGGCAGGGGCTGCGGCCAGGCAGCTCTTTCGGGGTGAGCGAGGGCCCTCGCATTCTGGGTGAGGGCCTCGCCACCTTCCTGCGTGAAGGAGAGCAGTGAGTGGCCAGTCCTGCTGATTCGGAATCACATGCCGCCTGCCGCACCGCTGGCCAGAAGCCAAGGAGCGAGTCCCAGAGACCTGCAGCTTGGTCTCAGCGGATGCCTGCGGCCGCCTGAGAAAGAAGCCGGGACGTGCGATCGGAGAGGCTGCTCTCGCCTTTGCTCAGAGCCGTGGAAGGGGGCTGCCTCACGAGGGAGAAGTCGGCCCAGCGTGCAGCGGTGGGTCAGCAGAGATGTTTTCCTTCCCTGCTGCTACTTGAACTCGAGGTCGTATCATGAGGCTGATGGATGGGAGAGTCAGAGCAGAGGAGAGGAAGCACCCGCGGGGAGCGCTGGCCATTGGGTGGGTTACACATGTGGTAAATGAAGCGATTGCATCAGTGCCAGGACTTCCCCACGCAAGGCAGAGGTTCCACAGGGGACTTTGCCACCTTGCAGTATGTGGTGCTTACCAGGCTTTGAAAGGGATCAGAACATCTTTGCGGAGGTGGAGTCCGAGGCCCCTGCTCCTGATGCCCAGGATCGGGCGCTGCGCCTCGGTGCACCAGCTGCTGGGGAAGCACCAGCTGAAGGGCGCTGTCGTCCCCCCGTCCTGCTCCGGCGGCAGCTGGCTGGCCACTGTGTGAACAGCCTGCTGAGCCAGGGGGCTCTTCTTATGTCCTGGCGTGTGCCTCTGGAGGTGTGCAGAGCGGTTTGGGTCTTCGTTTCGTGCACTTTTGGAGAAGCCTTTGTTGTTGTTTAGTCGCAGAGTCATGTCCAGCTCTTCATGACTCCATGGACAACATTCCTCCAGACTCTCCTGTCTTCTGCCATCCAGCAGAGTCCACCCAACCCTCACCCCAGTGACCCCATCCAGCCACCTCAGCCTCTGCTGTCCCCTCCTCCTTTTGCCTTCAGTCGTTCTGTTCGACGGGCTCCAGGGGGTCCTTCCTTCTCATTAGGTGGCCAACGTTTTTGCCCTTCAGAGAAGCCTTTATTCCGACAGAAACCTGACAGGCAGGTTTGGAATTGTGGCTCCCCCTCCCCCCGGCCCCAGTGGCCCAGGCAGGCTTCGTTCCGTGCCTTCCCTTTGTCCTGAACCCGGGTGCCCATGCACAGTTCCACCAGGGGCTCCACAGCCCTGGCTCTGCGGCATTCTGGAAATCTCGCTCTGAGCCAGGATGCCCCAGCCAGGCCTCCACTCCACGCACTGCACCGGCTTGATGGTCTTGTAAAAGCCTGCTGCCCCCAGGCACCTTTGCAAAGGCAATTTGGCCATGTGCGCTTGAGGGCAGGGTGCTTCCTCTGCGCTGCCTGGAACAGGTGCTCTTTGCCCTCTCCTTTCCCACTCTTGCACACCTGCCCTCCAGAGCGCCCTCAAGCCGCCCACACTTCCTCCTGCTCTGGCTGCTCTGCCCTGAGGGCCGAAGCTGTGAACCACCCAAGCGCCTCCCTCCCCTCCCCTCGTTGTGCTTGAGCAGCCCCCCCACCCTCCGGTGGGGGCTCCCTTTCGGCCCTCTGCCTGGCCAGCGGGAACCTCCAGCTCACCCTTAACCCCACGCCCCCGGCCGGGAGCCGCCTTTTCCCGAATCACCTGGCCCTCCCTCGTGGCCAGCCTCTGTCCGTGTGCCCAGCAGACCGAGTGATGCGAGCCCGGCTCCCCTGCCCTCCCCGGGGCCACACACTGTCTCCCGGCCTGCGCCGACACCGGGCGACTGCGCGCACGGGAGCCGGGCCGTCCCCGCACTGGGCAGCCTTCAGGCTTTCTTTGGCCGGCTCCGTGCTCGATCGATCCGTGGGTTTTGTCTTCCTTTGATTGGAAAAGGGGGCCTGGAGCTACCGGCACGGTCAGGGTGCGGGGCTTGGTGGTGCAGACTGCCTTTTGATGCAAGGCATTGACGATTACAGCACCGTCATGCTTGGGGCACCAAAGTTTCGCCCCTCTCCCGGCTCCCAGGCTTTTCACAGCCACAGAGCAAACAGTCCTCAGAGACGAAGGGGTTGTGAGTGGGAAGGGAGCACGTCCCACCTTCAGGCGGCGGAGCCGTAGTGCTCCTTAGGTCGCAAGGGCCCTGCCAGTTGAATGCAGCGCGGGATCTTCAGCGTGGCAGCCCTGCTTCTGCCGCTTGCTCCTGGCGCTCCCTCGGTTTGCATTTCTGCAGCGCCGCCCCTTCTGCCGGGCGGCTTGATGCTCTTCATTGCATTCATGCTGGTCGCTTACTGCCCTTTCTGCACGTTCTCGTCATATTTTGGCAACGGCCTGTTCCCTGCTGTGCGCTGCTCATGGGTCCTCAGACTGGGAGAGCCCTGAGGTCCACTCGGGCCGCCTTGTCTCTGAGGGCAGCGCAGCGCAGCGCTCCCCCATCCCATTTCTGCCTCAAGCAGTACTTGAAGAGTGGAGGAGAAGCAGGGGCACCAGACCAGAGATGTTGCCCGGCCACAGAAGAAAGGATGTGCCACCGGACAGTGTGCGCGCCCGCCCGCTCCTCCTCAGTCCACACAGAGTGCAGACGGTTCCACTCACGGACACGCCTGGATGCTGCTTCCAGTTCAGCCGGGGCAGCTGAAGGACCCCCAGCCTAAGGCTTATGAGTGAATGAAAAGGGGCTTCGGAGGCTATCTAGTCCAGCCCCCTGCGATGCGAGAAGTCTGCTTTCACATCATTCCTGACAGGTGGCCGCGCAGCCTCTGCTGAAAAATCCTTTCGTGAAAGGGTGTCTCCCACCTTCCGGCCTGCATTTCTGGTCTCCAGGCTTCTGTCCATCCTGGCCTGGCCTGAATACATTCTTCTTTGTCGACATCCTTCTTCAACAAGGTGCCCGGATTCAATGCAGTGCTCTAAGTAATGCCTCTCCCAAGCAGAGTAAAATGGATCCTTTACTTCTTACAGTTGAGACACGTTACTTGATTTGCTTCAGCCTAGAATTACAGAATCAAGGTGCAGATGCACGTCCGGCTTGTACTGTGCTACAAACACCCCCACCCCTTCTGCCACGCCGGGTGTTGCTGTGCTAAACATAAAGCCACTGTGAACTCAGGGCAGAGAGATACACAGTGTGGCACTTCCACCGATACAGGAATAAAATACCACCCTCCCACCTTATATTTGTCCATCCAGCTTTTCTTACCTTCACAGAACTTCACATTTATTTCTCTTCAAATCCATTTTCTTTTGGCCCAGTTCTCATCTTGCATCCCTCCCAGGTTGGAGTCAGTTGCAAATGTCAAAAGCATGTCCTTTATTTTGTCCTGGTTCAAAGCAGTTGAAAAATAACAGGCCCAGGGCAGAACCTGCAGCACTCGCATTTTTGTGATGCCTTTGGGCTTTGGAAAGTCCTACAGCCTTTTTGTGGTCCCGGCCCTCTGAGGAAAGGCCGATGCCCAAAGTGAAGACCTTGGTTGCCTCCGAGGGCAGCTGGGCTTGGCCGTGGCTGTGGGCATCCATGCCGGTCGCCTCTGGCCAGGGCACACCTCTCTCTTGCCTCCTTTTCTCTGGAGTGAATCGGGCTGCCCCGGAAGAGTTTCTGGTTGAAGATTCCTGGGGAATGCATGGAAACAGGAGAGTAGCCCTCCAGGATCAGACCCAAGGTCCATCGAGCCCAGCGCTCGGCACACGAGGTGGCTGCCCACAGGATCCCTCCAGCAGGATGGGTGCAGGACCCCCGCCCAAGCGCCTCAGCAGCCGGCGTGTGCAGGCGGCCCCCTCTGGTCAAGGAGGGCGCACATGGCCAGCCAGGCCACCAGCCACGGAGAGCCCCCTCCTCCTCCATGGATCTGCCCAGTCCCCTTTGAAATCCACCCCCCGGAGTGGCCGCCACTCTTCCCGGGGGCAGTGTGCTCCATGGTTCAATTACACACGGTTTGAAGACGTGGATGGTGGGGAGAGTCATGAGACCAGGCGGTGTTTGCTGGGGGAGGCGGAGGAGGGCTTCAGTGCAGGTTTCCCCTTTTTGTCCGTGTGAGAGCTCTCTCCATGCAGACATGGCTGTTGCAGCCCCTCCCCCCCCAGTACTGCAGTCGGGGTCTCTACTGCAGTGCCCACAGACACCTTGATGCCCACCAGGTTTTGTGCCTCTCCTGACTTTTATTTTTTTAGATTTTTTTAAATCCAAAAATGCCCTTTTTAACTGGGGGGTGCTCGTGCTGCGACACCCCCCTCTCCTCCAGCACCGTCTTCCTTGTGGCTCAGAGGAGCTTTCGTGTTTTGGAGCTCGGCTCCATCTCCACCCCCAGCTGGCGCTGAGGTGCTTGCACGAGTCCTCCTTCAGCTTCACCGTGTTGCCTTCTGCAAACGGAGTGTTTCACGGCCAGCCGTGTCCACCACGGAGGAGCAAGCCCCTGCTGCAGCAACCATTTTGTGACAGCACCCACAACGCTTATTTCAGCATTCC